TCGTGGACCAGAATAGTTGCGCGGCGTTCGCTTCACGAGACCAACCCGAATACCATTACGGTGCATTCATTACGGGACGGGAATGGGCAGGTAGGTAGATAAATACCTAACCCAACCTACCTTCTTGGGTGTGACTACAGGTAGGTATTCATTGTGGTCGACAACTTGAATAACTATATGGTACCGTATTTTGTTGGTTAGGTATTAGATCACAAATGGTTCTCGCTTCATCGCCATACCTACGAACTATACATACCATTACCATTACCAATTACAATTACCATATGAGACGAACCCGGAACCCCTCACACCCTTTTTTTTTGGGTCGAATTTATTATTAGGCAGTTAAATGTTACTCTCCAAATCTCGTAAAATCATTGCTTTCCTCCCTCCTAGTTACGTGAAGTAGCGGTATGTCTTCGTTCGTTCCATTTTTTTTTTTCTATTTTTTCTTATTTCTTTTCTCTTTTTTTTCTTTTTTTTTAGAAGGGGTCTTTTTGGGGGGGCTCCCCGTTGGTTCCCGATCGAGACCCCCCTTTTTAGGTTTCCGATTCGGATACCTATCTATGTGGATGTCGCCTACCTCGTGTATTCAGTACATCATCATACACCGTCACCATGCGTCATCACACTCATACATCATGTAGCAGGTACGTGGCCTCGTACGTCTGTTAATCTATGTATTCCCCCGCCCGAGATATCTCTTCTAGCTTCTCTTCTCTTAGTTATTCAATCAACGTACACACTTCAGATCAGCTAAGTAGTCTCCCATCGTGAGACTCCTCGGCTGTAGAAGACCGTACATAAACGCACATCTATCCATCTATGTCCTGGATCGCCCGCGGGCGCCCGGTGCGCAGCTTCGCAATATACCTACCTACCTACCTACCTACCTATGTAAATCGATAACTACCTAACCTAGATAGGTAGATAGATAGCGCCCGTAAGATCCCGGGGATTTCATCCCTCCCCACATCCAAAACTAACCTTACCTTACCTTACTATCTATGGGGTATAACTAGCTGCGATGCCGATTCGGAACGGTATGGTTAGATAGGTAGGTAGTCTAGGTAGGTAACTATTCAAATGTTTTATTTAGATAGCACGCCTATTCCGACTTTTTCCCCTTTGAACCTGTTTTTTCCCCGAAACTTATTAGATTGAAAAAGAGTAGATACCTCCTCAAGACTTATCACTATACTCTACCTACTTAGGTGAGTTGAGTTGGTAGGTAATATAAGGTAAATGTAAGAAGAAAAGCCCCGGCGGGTTTACCGCATAATATAGTTAGATAGATAGGTGACGCATCTAACGCGAGTGTAAAACACCACGGGCAGTACAAGTCTTCTTCCTCTTCTGTGCTCTTCTCACCTCTTTCTTGTCTCAATCAACGCTTCGCTATTGTTTTTTCTCACTCATCATTCGTCAATCCTCAATCCTCAATCCTGCTCCCAATGCTGTTCTCCAAAGAAGGGTGAAGGGCTATAAAAAGATTCAAGAAAGAAAAAAAAAAAAAAAAAAAAAGAAACGCCGAGAACACCTTGCCAAAGTGCCCATGATGAAGACCTGATCCAATACCTAAACCAAACGCCTTACCTAGCAAAAGTCCTCTCTGTTTCTCACCCATCCCATCCTAGTCAATGGTGGGGTAGTTAAGAAGGGGGGGATAGTAGTAGATAGGCGTAGCATCCCCCCCTCCCCCCCAAAAAACCCCCCAAAAGTCGCGATGACCAAAAAAAGTCGAAAACGATGAGGTAGATGCCTTGGTTTACTTCTTTCGCTGTGCTTCATAGGCCTTGACGGCGGCCTCGAGTTCGGCGAGACTTGACCGGTCGGCGTAGGCGTCCATGACGGCTTCGGTCTGTCGGCGGCGGGCTGCCTGGGCCTCTTCGTCTCGGTACTGTTTTTGTTCTTGGTATTCCATGTATTTGGTCACACCGTAGCCTATTTTTTGGCCGGACATATAGAATGGTCAGTCTAGGGAGGAAAGAAAGACATATATATATATATATATATATATACATCATATTATCAAACAGTTGGTAGGTGCTGACCTATGCCTATCACGGCGGCGGTTGCTGTGGCACTGTGGACGGGTAGGTTTGTTAGTGTTTATGTTGTTTAGTAAATAGGTAGGTAGGTAGATTGATAGATTGATTGATAGACTGATAGATGGGGTTGTAAAGGTCGGTAAAGGTAATACTTACACTTTCTTCTCTAATCGGCCGGATTTATACAGTGTTGGTAGATGGCTCGGGTATACGTGAGATGCGGTGGAGAAGGGGCGGGCTGACGAACTTGAAGGCATGGTGTGGGTATGGTTGGTAGCGAGGGAGATGAGGGACGTCGCCTCTTGATATGTGTCGAGGAACTCGTGTGTATGTTGTTTGTTTCTTTGTGTTGAATATGGTATATCGAGGGTGGGTAGTACCGTATAGGCAGGTAGGCAGGTAGGCAGACAGGCAGACAGGCAAGGCAGACAAGCTAGTCGGTAATGTTTGATTTTAAACTTATTCGAGTCTGGTAAATGTACGAAGGGCTATGTAAACAAAAAATAAAAGGAAGGTCGGATTAGAAGAGAGGGGAGATGTGCTGGTTATAAAGTAGAATCTGGGATGGAATGCATGATGCAGTGTTGTGTATCTACGTACACTACTATAAACGTAGGGCCAGGTGGGCAGCTAAGCAGTCGAGCGGTTGAGCAGTCGAGCAGTCGAGCAATCGAGCAAGACCGGGGAATTCGGTAATGGTTAAGCGGTTTCCATTTACCCGACAAAACGTAATGTAATATATTGTAATGTAATCAAGGTAAGGTAAGGTAAGGTAAGGTAAGGTAGTGTAGTGTAATAATAAGTAACACTACTTATCCAAGAGCGACGTAACGATCCCGTTTGAACCACGCGCCGTGGAGCGCCTCAGTCGGGCAGGTGAGCACGTTCCTCGTTATTTCCTTGGCTTCTAGATACCTAGTTAGTAGGCAGGCAGGCAGGTCGGTATAGTGTAGATGTTAGGTAAGTCCACAGTCGATAGTTTATTGATACGGGAAGAGTGACCGACCCCAAAAGCACCCTGGGGAAACGTCGTGTGACACTCAACAAGCTTCCTTCCCTATTACCCAATTCATAGGTATCTACGGACGTAATTAACTATTACTTTTACATTGTTTTGCTTTGCTATGCCTCGTTTCCTTCCTCGTCTTTTTAGTCCCTTTCTATTACCCAAGGTAGGTAGTCCCCCCTCGACCGAGTACGAAACGGGCAAGTATGACGGGAGGGTTCCAGGTTACATATGTTGAATGTCCAATAGGTAAGGTAGTGTAAGTGTACTCAGTGTAGTGTAGTGTAGGTACCTAGGTAAGTAAGCAGGTAAGTAAATAACATGAGTGTGAGCTGAGCTCTTACGATTGTTTCATGGTATTCGTATGTACATCCATCATGCCACGGATCAAACATGGGACAAAAACATGGGGATTGGATGTGTGGGGGATTGGCACAGGAGCATTTGCATCATGCGGGGGACGCCGGGGCTTGGATCAAAAGACGCCAAGATGGCCTGAGTAACGAATCGACAGGCTTTGACTGGATGTGTAGGTAGTCTGTACTACGTAGTCTAGTAAGTTAAACTACATAGTTAGTCATTCACTTACGGATATGTTTAAATTGATTACCTATTATCTACTAGATACATATCAGGTAAATTATACACCCCCCAACATCTCGAGTTTTACCTTTACCAATTGGATGCTTTCGCAACATCATCCTATCCTATCCCGTACGGACCCGAGACCCTTTTCCTGCGACTTATAGGCAGGCTGAGACAAGAACTCACCTCTTATTGATTCGAGGTAATTCCTCGCGATGAACATTGTCGGTCAATTCTAGATTAGATACCACTCATGTCGATGTCGATGATTGATCCTTGTTCACCGACTCCTGAGACGCAGAAGCGGGACACCCTTTCGCTGCCCGAGTACGGACCATCTACACTATTACAATGGCATACCCCCGTTAGGTTAGGCTAGGTATTCCATACAGGGTATTCCGTAGAAATTGTCCAACGAATTACCTAGCCAAAGTGCCGGCACTCCCGAGTCCCGACGATTGCAACATCGTCTCCCGGATATTTTTCAAGGGAAAAGGCCCAGGGGTCTTAACATTCTTTACTATGTACATACTTAGGACGTCTGTAAAAGTCACCTGTCTGGGAAATCACGAGGTCTAACCGCGAGTGTGTGTTTTTTTTATACTGCCTGACATTCAATTTCTAATTACGTTCGAGAATCAACTCGAAGCCGAAGTCGAAGTCGAAAGTTGATCCCATGCCCTGTGTTCAAAAATCCCCGGATGCGAATAAACTCAGGAGTCAGGGGGACAATCTATGTAATACATGTGCAGGCACAGCGTCTCTTCGGAGTCCTCGCACAAGTTATCAGTGCCGACAACGCGAATCACAGTTCACCAACTGTAACTACAACTTGTAATTACCGTCAAATCCGGCGCATCTCCGTCACAAACATGCCATGTACCTGGGTAGGTACTCACCAAAAAAAGCGTCGTCACGTAAAGTACGGACTTGTTACCTAGGTAATTAATCACACAGTCGACCAGATCAATTGACGTCCTGCTCACACGACGACAGAGCCTCACCACAAACAGAAGAAAAGAAGAATTACCTATCATGTAATTACTCTTCTGATTACTTAACATTGTAATATTCTAGGTATTTATTGTATTCCCCCTTCCAGACAATACCGGGGTCTCTTACTTACATGTGCAATTCAACGCCACCCCCACACGAACTATCTACATAAGTAGGCATACTAAGAAAACAGGGGATCCCCCTCCTTCAGAGTTCTCTCGCATCCACTTTCCCCAGAAAAAAACAAAACCCCCCTCCATCCGTTTCTCGCCCGGCGCCACAAGAGAAACATATACCCTTCCGCCACCTCGGCTCCTCCAACAAGCAAGCATCCCGCAAACAGGCTTAGTTTCCATCCCCTTGTCTTCGTGGCTCAGTTGGCTAGAGCGTTGGTCTCATATTCGTATGATCCAATCATTAGATTGGGCTATCCAAAGGTCGTGAGTTCGAGCCTCACCGAGGACATCTTTTTTCTTTTTTCCCTCCCTTAAATTTCTTTTTTTTTTCCTTCTTCTTCTCTTTTCTTCCGCCGGACTTATCCTTCTTGGTCCACTTCACTCACCATCACATGTTCACCTACACCTGTCGGTTAACCATCGTGAAACGCTTCGTTCGTACGGTAATTTGTGCCAGGACGGGGGTTCCAATCACTTGACTACCTATAAACCTCGTTCGGGCTTGCTAGGTACTACTAATGAGTTTCAGGCCGGGGGGGGGGGGGGGGGGGGTATAGTGTGTGGGTTTTGAGAGAAAAAACCAAATGGACAAAAAAA